GGAGGAAGAAAGTAATTTTAAAAGTTTAAATGAAAATTTTAAAAAGTAATAAAAAAACAAAAGTTTATAAAAAATAATCCCAACTTTTAGTTTGTTGCGTAAAACAGTCCGTTTTTGTTTTCCCACCGTTAGCAACTTAACGGCAGCCCAAAACTCACAAATTTCAGTAAAGTTGGGATTATTATGTATCACAATGAAATGTGAGATTATTTTTGAAAAATCGAGTAAAATCTGGATTATTCTCGATAATTTTTCCTTTAAGTAATGAAAGTTGGATAGTACAACTACATTTATTACCCTGAAAGTTGGATAGACGCCTCTCTTACTGACCTCCTTAAGAAAAATGACCTCAAGTGGACACCCGCCGCGGACAAGGTATTTAGTTAGTTGAAAGTGGCTATGACACATGCACATGTTATACGTTTACCAGACTTCACCCAAACTTTTATTGTGTAAACTGATGCTTGCACAGACATGGTAGGCATTGTGTACCTTCAGAATGGGCACCCAATTGCTTATTTTAATAACAAATTGGGCCCTCGTCGATGGACATAGTCTACTTATTTTAAGGAATTATATGCGACGTGGAGACCGTGCAGAAATGGCGATAATACTTATTGGGGTGTGAGTTCATCATTCACATTGATCAAAGAATCTTGAAAGAATTTTTACTCCATGTCATCCAAACCTATGACCAACAATTCTATATCCATAAGTTAATGGGGTTTAAATTCCGCATTAAATACCATAAAGGCTGCTCCAACCGTGTCGTAAGACCATGACGCTAAGGCCATGCTATTCATCACGTACGCACAGTCCCTTTTCGACTGCCATTCACGAGGAAAACAGTGTCATGGAGGATTTGGTTAAGTATCATACTTTGGCTGCTCAAGGTAACTTGCCCATCCATTTACTACTATTGACGAAGTATTGTATTATAAGCATTGGTTGTGCATCAGTACATAGCCCAATTTGCGCTTGACATTGTCAGGTGAGTATTGTGCTTCTCCTTCGGCAGGTCATGTCGGCATTGATCGTACCTTCCGACCTGTGGCTACAAGCTTTTATTGGCCATTCATGCGTAAAGATGTGCAACCCTTCATTTGGTGTTCCATGTGTTTCAAGCTACAAAATATTCTACTCAGAAACTCAAGGGCCTCTTACAGTTGCTCGTTGCAACGAAGGTATGGGACGAAATATCGATGGATCTTATCACGGGTCTTCCACCCACATGGGTGGTTGATCAGCTCACTAAATACTTTCACTTCGGGTCATTGCCTCCTCATCTTGACGCCCCAAAGGTTACCAGCATCTTTGTCGAGATCGCTTTCAAACATCATGGCATGCCTACGTCGATAATTTCTAATCGAGATGCTTTCTTTATGAACATTTTTTGGCAGGAGTTGTTCAAAATCAGCGGGACCACATTAAAACATTTGATGACCTACTAACCACAGACTACTATGGTCAGACAAATGTAATGAATTAGGGTCTCGAACAATACTTACAAGCTTTTACTAGCGATCATCCATCACGTTGGGTCATCTATTTTTCGTGCATTGAACTTTCATTGAATTGTATGCACCATGAGGGTCTTGGCACTACCCCTTTTCGAGCAATGTATGGTCGTAAACCCCCCGCAACTTGTTCCTACTCGGGATGTGGTTAGTAAAGCGTCTACCACGGAGGACCTGTTAATTGCTTGAGCCGCATTATTACGGCAGCTTCGAGGTCATTTACAAAAAATGCAACAACGCAGGTAGCATCAAGCTAATAAACCCCAACGTGAAGTATCTTTTGAGGTTGGGGATCAGGTTCTCCTCAAGTTACAGCCATACCAGCAGCATTCGGTGAGTCGGCCCACTTCAGCAACGCTTGCACGATGATATTACGGCCCTTTTCTAGTTTTGGAAAAGATAGGGGCAATAGCGTATCGCTTGCGGTGACCCACTTCGTTACGCATACATAACGTCTTCCACGTCTCACTGTTAAAGTTCTATTTGCCTGAAGCAATGCATCACGCGGCCGGCCCGTTACCAGAAGAATTCACGTCGTCCAAGCCCACCGTGCCAGTACGCGCGCGTATAGTTTTGGTCCAGGGCCAACCTCAAAAGCAATGGTTGGTCACGTGGTCCGATGGTGGGTTGGGGGATGCTACATTGGAACCGGTAGAATCGTTGGCTGCTTCGTTTCCCATTCTCTAACTTGAGAACTTGTTGGTTTTTGAAGGCGGGGGGGGGG